TATAGAACATAAACACATAATTTAAAACATAAGAATATAGTTTAGAACATAAGTACCTATTTTAGAACATAAGCATATAGTTTTACACATGTACTTTATAACATAATCTCGTAGCTTAGAACACGCAGTTTTAGAACATAAGAATGAAGTTTAGAACATAATTTATAGCTTAGATCATAAGCATATAGCTTAGAACATAAGCATATAGCTTAGAACATAAGCATATAATTTTAAAGTTTTTAAAGTCTTACTTATTATCTCCTTGAGCAAACGCATACTCAGCTACCTTTCTATTGTCCACATTCTTGAAAAGTTTTTCATGTTCAACCATGAAAGGTGAACGCAAGTACATTGGAAGCTTATCCTTTCCTCTTTTTTCCGTGTCTTTTCTTCTCCTTTCTTCTCCTTGTTTCCTACTTAATTCAATTAAAAAATATCACATAGATAACAAAAACCATAACTAAATCAAACCAAAATTTATTGATAACAAAAACCATAACCAAATCAAACCAAAATTTATTATTACCAAGTTCTAAATTAAAATTTAACTAAACCATAACCAACATTTGTTTTAAAGTTTACAAAATGATTACCCTTTCTTGTTCTCATTTTTTTTCTTCTTTGTTCTTCTCTTCATTCTTGCTTCCTTCATTTTCTTTCTTCTCCTCTTGATTCTCCTCTTTTTCCTCCTTTTTCTTCTTCCCCTTTTCTTCTCTCTTCTCCTCTTGGATCTCCTCTTTTTCCTCCTTTTTTCTTCCCTTTTCTTCTCTCTTCTCCTCTTGGATCTCCTTTTTTTCCTCCTCTTTCTTCTTCCCCTTTTCTTCTTTCTTCTCCTCTTGCTTCTCTTCTTTTCCTCTTCTTTCTTCTTCTCCTTTTCTTCTTTCTTCTCCTCTTTTTCCTCTTCTTTCTTCTCCTCTTTTTCCTCTTCTTGCTTCTCCTCTTCATCCAATGTAGGTGGATGATCTGGATTTAGAAAAGCACAATTTAGAACATTTGCTGTCACTTCTTCGTAAGTGAGTTCTGCTTCATTATCTTCTTGATTTTCTGGGACATCAAACCATAAGTAGAAACAATAAGGACACAACATAGAAATAGTTGGAAAAAATTTAGAACATTAGAAATAACTAGAATATAACCAGAAAAATTTAGAACACAAGAAGTAACTTTAGAACATAACTAATTTACAACATAATTATATATATTTAGAACATATGCACATAATTTAGAACATAATCATACAATTTAGAACATATGCACATAATTTAGAGCATAACTAATTTCAAACATAATCATATTATTTTGGAAAATATGCACATAATTTAGAGCATAACTAATTTAGAACATAATCATATATTTAGAACATATGCACATAATTTAGAACATAATCATATTATTAGAGCATATGCACATAATTTAGCACATAATCATATAATTTAGAGCATATGCACATAATTTAGAACATAAGAAAGTAGTTTTAAAACATAAGCATCTGATTTAGAAAAAATTTAGAACATCAAGAAATAACTTTAGAACATAACAGAAAAAATTTATAACATAAGAAGTAATTTTAAAACAAATCTAGTAATATTATTTCAAAAGAAAAAAGTTTGAAAAATAATGTAAAACTACCAACTGCTGGTGAGGGGGTCAATAACTTGAAACTTGGAGGGAGTTATATCAAAAGGTTGCTTCTTTTTTTGGAGGAATTGGGGTTTTTTTGGTGACTCCTCATTCCTTTTCTCTTTCTTCTCAATTTTTTCCTCCTCGTTTCTCTCTTTTTCTGTACTGCTCTTTTTCTTCTTCTTTTGATCCCAAATCTTCATAGCAATTACACCATAAAATTAAGTATTATAGCAAATAGCAAAAAATAAATTAGAAAATAAAAAGTAACTTTAGAACATAAGAAATATATACAATTAGGAGACAACCTAGAAATAGTTAGAATATAAAAAATTAAGAATTAACTTTAAAGCATAACCAGAAAAAATTTAGAGCATAAGAAGTAATATTAGAACATATCTAGTAAATATTAGTACATAAAAAAATGAATTTGAAAATAATGTGAAATTACCAACTACTGGTGAGGGAATCAACAAGTTTTTGTCTTTATTCTCTTCATTTCTCTCTTCTTTGTTCTTATCTTTTTCCTCTTCCTTTGATCTCAAAATCTGCTTAACAATTAGAACATAACTAATTTAGTACATAACTAATTTAGAACATAACTAATTTAGAACATAATCATATAATTTAGAACATAAGCATGTGATTTAAGCGCATGTTTTAGAACATAAAAAAGTACTTTAAAACATAAGCATCTAATATAGAACATAAGTATAATTTGGAAATTAAGCATGTACATGTGAAATTACCAACTGTCGGTGACTTTGGTGACCTTGTTTCCTCGAATTTCTTCCATGCCTTATCCATAACCATATCCAATTCTTCAATAAATGCCGGTTCATCGAAGACATGTTGATCTTGGCTGAGTATAGAAGGGCTTTTTCTTTTCTTCTTGGTTCACGAATGTCTATAAAATAAGAAATTATAATTTAGAACATAATATGCATAATATTTATATAAATTTATTATACTTTAGAACATAAGCTGAAAATACTTTAGAACACAACCAGAAAATACTTAGAACATAATTATAATACCTTTGTTGTGTACTTGCACCATATGTTGTCTATGAGATGTTGCATTTTTCCATTTGTTTCTTCCTCAACAAAAAGATCTTTTGCTTGTTCTAACATGCCATACATCTCTTTAACATTCGAGGCAAGTGTTTTTGCCAAATCTCCAAATTTGCTCAAAAAGCCCTTCATTAGAACACAAAAATATTTTAGAACATAAAGGACATAACATGGATAATTTAACAGAAAAGGATTAAATGAAGCATAAAATATAATTTACAATATAAACTAAATCATACCATCATGTCATTTCGAGAAGTTGTAGAACTAGAACCTATTGATGATTTTTTCCATTCTCTTCTCTTTTTCCTTTTGTTTTGGTTGTTTTCTTTTTCCTTTTGGTGCCTTCTAGTATATAAATTATAAAATTTAGAAAACAACAACATAAAAGTGTAGTGTTTAAACATAAACATATACAAATATCATACCACAATTGATTCCATTCTTTCCAAGAGTTTTCCATATCCAAATCCATGATCTTTTTCAAACTTATATCTCACTTGAATCCTTTCCTTTGTCCACACCGAAATTAGTGGACATTTTCTTGGTTTTTCTAACTCTCCTCTTTGTAGACGATCAAAATAGAATACCTATTTAGTACATGTTAAGAATTAATTAGAATATTTTTCACACATTTTCAACATAACAAGAATAATGTATATACATAATGGTAAGAATTTAAAACTTACCATTAGAAAAGGTAAAGGACCTGTAAAGTAAGAATTTCCCTTCTTCCATACACTTACAGAATCTTTCAAGTGCTCAATCACAAATGTGCACCAATCCAATTCAGCAATTTTCTTTACATCCATACAACTATACAAGAATTTAATTGTATAGTTGTGGGTTGTTTGTTGATCGAATGCAACAATTGACAACACATACCACAAAAGTTCCAAAGAAATTCATCAGAAACTGATTTTTCCTTCTTCAATTCTTGAATTCTGTCAATCAATCTCTTGTTGGTTGGACTTCCCTTTTAGAGGTAAAAAAAACATATAAATTAAAACCTATGGAGATAATAGATCTATTTTAAAGCAAAAACACTTTAGAACATAAGCAAAGCACTTTAAAACATACAATTTATAACATAAAATTCATACTTTAGAACATAAAATTTAAAACATAACCACATTATATCATCATACTTTTTTGAGGCCAAACTTGCTTCTCCAAGCTTTTAGAAACTTGCTCCATTTCAGATTTGACTCATCATTTGGTTGCTCAATCCTTTTGCCTCCCAATGGCAACCCATAAGCCAAATGAACATCAATTGCCTCCAAAAAGATTTCTTGTTTTCTCTTTGGTAACATCAAACAACATCTCTCCGTGTCAAAATTCGTAACCAAGTTTTTCTGTCAACCTAGAATTATAATGAAAAATGTAAGATTTAAAGCACAATACAGCTATATTTAGAATATAATAGTCAATCTTTAGAACATAGAAGATTAAAACATTTAGTATAATATTTAAACTTTTGAACATAATTTAGAACATTATATAATAAAAAAAAGTCTATTTTAGAACATAATAAACATACATTAGAACATAACAAAAAATTAATTTAGAACATTAGTGTATAGCAATTCAAACATGAGAGTTCATAATTTTTAGAATACAAGAAGTAACTTTAAAACATAAGTAATTTACAACATAATCATATTATTTAGAACATATGCACATAATGTAGAACATAATCATACAATTTAGAACATATGCACATAATTTAGAAACATAGCTAATTTCGAACATAATCATATTATTTAGAACATATGCACAAAATTTAGAGCATAACTAATTTAGAACATAATCTTATAATTTAGAACATTAGTGTATAGCAATTCAAACATGACAAATCATAATTTTGAACATAACATTGATAATACTTATGATTTTAGAATATGATTTTAGAACATAACATTCTACTACTTACGCAGAATTAATATGGATTGGTAAAATCCAATTCCAAAAAGCCTCCAAAACCAATGTTCCGAATAGCTTGCTTTTGTTTTTTTCCGAAAGATTTATCAACACATCCTTCATGAATTGAGTAGGAGGTACTCTTTGATAAGGTTGCCTCTTAACTAGTTTATCTTGCTCATTAGCTTCTACTACTTGGACATCCTCACCATCTTCTTCTTTTTCAATCTTTCTTTTCTTCTTCTTCACATCCTCACCATGAATAGATAAACATAATTAGAACATAGATAAGCAAAATTAGAACATAAGCGTGCACTTTAGAACATAAAAATAAAGATTGTAAAGATTAAAGAGTATTATTACCTGAGTTTGATTTTTTTTATTGATTTTTTGTTCCTCCTCACTATCATCTTCCATCTCCTCTTTTTCATCTTTCTCTTTCATCTTTACATCACCCTTATTATCATCCTCACCATCATCTTTACTATCATTATTCTTGTCATCATCCTCAACATTATTACCCTCTTCTTCTTTTTGATCTTTTCCTTCTTCTTGATCTTTTTCTCTTCCTTCCTTTTTTTGCAATTTTCGAGGTGGTTAAAGCCTTGTTGGAAGTTTTCTATGTCTTATAGCAACACTTTTACTTTCAATATGCTTCTCAAATTCCGATCTATCAATTACTTCCGCTTCAACGTTTTCAACTTTCCTTTAAAAACAATTAAAAATAATAGAATACAACTAACATTAAATAGAGTGCAAATATAAAGGGATAAGATGAACATAAACTATAATGGATACATATTAGAACATAATACAAATCTTCAGAACATAAGAGAAAATTTTAGAACATAATGGAAAACTTTAGAACATAATGGAAAACTTTAGAACATAATACAAATCTTTAGAACTTAAGGGAAAACTTTAGAACATATTGGAAAACTTTAGAACAAAATTTAAAACATAATAGGTAAAGTTTAGAACATTAGTTTAGTTACCTTTTTCTTACATAAGTAATTTCTTCTTCTTGTATATTAGTAACTCCTTCTTCTGATTTTTCTTCATTTTGGCCTTGCATTTTACTGCAACATTAAGAAATCAAAAACATTAGTAACATTCCAACATTATTATTATATTTTTGAACATAGGAATAATTTAGAATATGCTGAAAAATAGTTTAGAACATGCTAGAGAGTGAAAAACCCAAAATAGAATGAGTAAACTAGAAATTTAAAAGACAAATGAAACAGAAACATGATAAGGTTTGATTGAGTTTATTTTCAGCCCATGTTCTAAATTATTTCAACCTATGTTCTAATTTTTTCTTATGTTCCAAATTTTTTCTACCTATGTTCTAAAGTTTGTTTTCAGCCCTGCAATCACAAGTTCACTACTAACAACCCCTAACCAATTAACAACCCCTATGTTCTAAAGGATCCATTAAAATGCACAGTCGATATATAAGTGAACTCCATGCAAAAGGATCCGAAACATAAAATTCAATAGGCCATAGGTAGAAAAAATTTGGAACATAAGAAAAAAAAATTTTATGTTTCGGATCCTTTTGCATGGAGTTCACTTATATATCGACTGTGCATTTTAATGGATCCTTTAGAACATAGGGGTTGTTAATTGGTTAGGGGTTGTTAGTAGTGAACTTGTGATTGCAGGGCTGAAAACAAACTTTAGACCATAGGTAGAAAAAATTTGGAACATAAGAAAAAATTAGAACATAGGTTGAAATAATTTAGAACATGGGCTGAAAATAAACTCAATCAAACCTTATCATGTTTCTGTTTCATTTGTCTTTTAAATTTCTAGTTTACTCATTCTATTTTGGGTTTTTCACTCTCTAGCATGTTCTAAACTATTTTTCAGCATATTCTAAATTATTCCTATGTTCAAAAATATAATAATAATGTTGGAATGTTACTAATGTTTTTGATTTCTTAATGTTGCAGTAAAATGCAAGGCCAAAATGAAGAAAAATCAGAAGAAGGAGTTACTAATATACAAGAAGAAGAAATTACTTATGTAAGAAAAAGGTAACTAAACTAATGTTCTAAACTTTACCTATTATGTTTTAAATTTTGTTCTAAAGTTTTCCAATATGTTCTAAAGTTTTTCCCTTAAGTTCTAAAGATTTGTATTATGTTCTAAAGTTTTCCATTATGTTCTAAAGTTTTCCATTATGTTCTAAAATTTTCTCTTATGTTCTGAAGATTTGTATTATGTTCTAATATGTATCCATTATAGTTTATGTTCATCTTATCCCTTTATATTTGCACTCTATTTAATGTTAGTTGTATTCTATTATTTTTAATTGTTTTTAAAGGAAAGTTGAAAACGTTGAAGCGGAAGTAATTGATAGATCGGAATTTGAGAAGCATATTGAAAGTAAAAGTGTTGCTATAAGACATAGAAAACTTCCAACAAGGCTTTAACCACCTCGAAAATTGCAAAAAAAGGAAGGAAGAGAAAAAGATCAAGAAGAAGGAAAAGATCAAAAAGAAGAAGAGGGTAATAATGTTGAGGATGATGACAAGAATAATGATAGTAAAGATGATGGTGAGGATGATAATAAGGGTGATGTAAAGATGAAAGAGAAAGATGAAAAAGAGGAGATGGAAGATGATAGTGAGGAGGAACAAAAAATCAATAAAAAAAATCAAACTCAGGTAATAATACTCTTTAATCTTTACAATCTTTATTTTTATGTTCTAAAGTGCACGCTTATGTTCTAATTTTGCTTATCTATGTTCTAATTATGTTTATCTATTCATGGTGAGGATGTGAAGAAGAAGAAAAGAAAGATTGAAAAAGAAGAAGATGGTGAGGATGTCCAAGTAGTAGAAGCTAATGAGCAAGATAAACTAGTTAAGAGGCAACCTTATCAAAGAGTACCTCCTACTCAATTCATGAAGGATGTGTTGATAAATCTTTCGGAAAAACAAAAGCAAGCTATTCGGAACATTGGTTTTGGAGGCTTTTTGGAATTGGATTTACCAATCCATATTAATTCTACGTAAGTAGTAGAATGTTATGTTCTAAAATCATATTCTAAAATCATAAGTATTATTAATGTTATGTTCAAAATTATGATTTGTCATGTTTGAATTGCTATACACTAATGTTCTAAATTATAAGATTATGTTCTAAATTAGTTATGCTCTAAATTTTGTGCATATGTTCTAAATAATATGATTATGTTCGAAATTAGCTATGTTCTAAATTATGTGCATATGTTCTAAATTGTATGATTATGTTCTACATTATGTGCATATGTTCTAAATAATATGATTATGTTGTAAATTACTTATGTTTTAAAGTTACTTCTTGTATTCTAAAATTATGAACTCTCATGTTTGAATTGCTATACACTAATGTTCTAAATTAATTTTTTGTTATGTTCTAATGTATGTTTATTATGTTCTAAAATAGACTTTTTTTATTATATAATGTTCTAAATTATGTTCAAAAGTTTAAATATTATACTAAATGTTTTAATCTTCTATGTTCTAAAGATTGACTATTATATTCTAAATATAGCTGTATTGTGCTTTAAATCTTACATTTTTCATTATAATTCTAGGTTGACAGAAAACTTGGTTACGAATTTTGACACGGAGAGATGTTGTTTGATGTTACCAAAGAGAAAACAAGAAATCTTTTTGGAGGCAATTGATGTTCATTTGGCTTATGGGTTGCCATTGGGAGGCAAAAGGATTGAGCAACCAAATGATGAGTCAAATCTGAAATGGAGCAAGTTTCTAAAAGCTTGGAGAAGCAAGTTTGGCCTCAAAAAAGTATGATGATATAATGTGGTTATGTTTTAAATTTTATGTTCTAAAGTATGAATTTTATGTTATAAATTGTATGTTTTAAAGTGCTTTGCTTATGTTCTAAAGTGTTTTTTGCTTTAAAATAGATCTATTATCTCCATAGGTTTTTAATTTATATGTTTTTTTTTTACCTCTAAAAGGGAAGTCCAACCAACAAGAGATTGATTGACAGAATTCAAGAATTGAAGAAGGAAAAATCAGTTTCTGATGAATTTCTTTGGAACTTTGTGGTATGTGTTGTCAATTGTTGCATTCGATCAACAAACAACCCACAACTATACATTAAATTCTTGTATAGTTGTATGGATGTAAAGAAAATTGCTGAATTGGATTGGTGCACATTTGTGATTGAGCACTTGAAAGATTCTGTAAGTGTATGGAAGAAGGGAAATTCTTACTTTACAGGTCCTTTACCTTTTCTAATGGTAAGTTTTAAATTCTTACCATTATGTATATACATTATTCTTGTTATGTTGAAAATGTGTGAAAAATATTCTAATTAATTCTTAACATGTACTAAATAGGTATTCTATTTTGATCGTCTACAAAGAGGAGGGTTAGAAAAACCAAGAAAATGTCCACTAATTTCGGTGTGGACAAAGGAAAGGATTCAAGTGAGATATAAGTTTGAAAAAGATCATGGATTTGGATATGGAAAACTCTTGGAAAGAATGGAATCAATTGTGGTATGATATTTGTATATGTTTATGTTTAAACACTACACTTTATGTTGTTGTTTTCTAAATTTTATAATTTATATACTAGAAGGCACCAAAAGGAAAAAAGAAACAACCAAAACAAAAGGAAAAAGAGAAGAGAATGGAAAAATCATCAATAGGTTCTAGTTCTACAACTTCTCGAAATGACATGATGGTATGATTTAGTTTATATTGTAAATTATATTTTATGCTCCATTTAATCCTTTTCTGTTAAATTATCCATGTTATGTCCTTTATGTTCTAAAATATTTTTGTGTTCTAATGAAGGGCTTTTTGAGCAAATTTGGAGATTTGGCAAAAACACTTGCCTCGAATGTTAAAGAGATGTATGGCATGTTAGAACAAGCAAAAGATCTTTTTGTTGAGGAAGAAACAACAGGAAAAATGCAACATCTCATAGACAACATATGGTGCAAGTACACAACAAAGGTATTATAATTATGTTCTAAAGTATTTTCTGGTTGTGTTCTAAAGTATTTTCAGCTTATGTTCTAAAGTATAATAAATTTATATAAATATTATGCATATTATGTTCTAAATTATAATTTCTTATTTTATAGACATTCGTGAACCAAGAAGAAAAGAAAAGCCCTTCTATACTCAGCCAAGATCAACATGTCTTCGATGAACCGGCATTTATTGAAGAATTGGATATGGTTATGGATAAGGCATGGAAGAAATTCGAGGAAACAAGGTCACCAAAGTCACCGACAGTTGGTAATTTCACATGTACATGCTTAATTTCCAAATTATACTTATGTTCTATATTAGATGCTTATGTTTTAAAGTACTTTTTTATGTTCTAAAACATGCGCTTAAATCACATGCTTATGTTCTAAATTATATGATTATGTTCTAAATTAGTTATGTTCTAAATTAGTTATGTACTAAATTAGTTATGTTCTAATTGTTAAGCAGATTTGAGATCAAAGGAAGAGGAAAAAGATAAGAACAAAGAAGAGAGAAATGAAGAGAATAAAGACAAAAACTTGTTGATTCCCTCACCAGTAGTTGGTAATTTCACATTATTTTCAAATTCATTTTTTATGTACTAATATTTACTAGATATGTTCTAATATTACTTCTTATGCTCTAAATTTTTTCTGGTTATGCTTTAAAGTTAATTCTTAATTTTTTATATTCTAACTATTTCTAGGTTGTCTCCTAATTGTATATATTTCTTATGTTCTAAAGTTACTTTTTATTTTCTAATTATTTTTTGCTATTTGCTATAATACTTAATTTTTATGGTGTAATTGCTATGAAGATTTGGGATCAAAAGAAGAATAAAAAGAGCAGTACAGAAAAGAGAGAAACGAGGAGGAAAAAATTGAGAAGAAAGAGAAAAGGAATGAGGAGTCACCAAAAACCCCAATTCCTCCAAAAAAGAAGCAACCTTTTGATATAACTCCTCCAAGTTTCAAGTTATTGACCCCCTCACCAGCAGTTGGTAGTTTTACATTATTTTCAAACTTTTTTCTTTTGAAATAATATTACTAGATTTGTTTTAAAATTACTTCTTATGTTATAAATTTTTTCTGTTATGTTCTAAAGTTATTTCTGATGTTCTAAATTTTTTCTAAATCAGATGCTTATGTTTTAAACTACTTTCTTATGTTCTAAATTATGTGCATATGCTCTAAATTATATGATTATGTGCTAAATTATGTGCATATGCTCTAATAATATGATTATGTTCTAAATTATGTGCATATGTTCTAAATAATATGATTATGTTCTAAATTAGTTATGCTCTAAATTATGTGCATATTTTCCAAAATAATATGATTATGTTTGAAATTAGTTATGCTCTAAATTATGTGCATATGTTCTAAATTGTATGATTATGTTCTAAATTATGTGCATATGTTCTAAATAATATAATTATGTTGTAAATTAGTTATGTTC